ACGAGGACGACGGGGAGTGGTTCGACGAAGAGGAGGAGGGCGAGGAGGAGGATCTGCTGCAGCTGGAGTACCATCCGTCGTACGTCAGCAACCCGCAGAAGCGGCGCCGGCGCTGGGAGAACCGGTGGGATGCGCTCATGCAAGCGGTGAGTGTTGCGCATGTCGAGACCTTCGCGCATGCTGATGTTTGTTCGGGCAGTTCCAAGCCGTCGATCGGGAGACGGATGCGACGCTTGTGTTGCTCGCTGCGCCCTCTCACTCGACGAAGCTGCATGCGCTCACGTCGCGCTCTATCCGGCGCGACCCTGCGCTGGCCAACTCGCCCAAGCTGTCCGCGATCAAGAGCTCATTCAACTCTCTGGCCACGCAGCGGCGCACCACGCGGGCACACCGCGTCTCGCTGGTGCAGCGCCTGCAGCTGTCCTCGGCGTCGTCCGCGGCAGGGTCCCCGGGAGGCGAGGCGCGCGAGGAGGACCTGCGGCGCGCGCTGGAAGCCGCGCTGGGGAGTCTCGGGGAGATGGGCAAGATCTACGAGCAGCGCGAGGTGCGGTGGCGCGACGAGATGCGGCAGCTGACGGAGGATCGGGATCGCGTCGAGATGCTGTTGCGGCAGACGCTGGGACCGGTGCTGCATGAGAACGGGCATGGCAGGTCATGAGCCGTCTCCGTCGTCCTGAAGGTGCTCGATGTCCTTTACGACTGTATGATCTTGGAGACGTGTATTTTACGTAAAGGTGCCACGAATTCACGCGGTTTGGACGACCTACAGCAAAACCAATACCGATAGGAGTCGGCAGTGGTGCAGAGACGGTGACGAGTGGCCGATCAGAGACGGGCTACTGAGTGTCAAGTGAGGGTCGTGAGGCAGACGCTTGCTGTAGTCCCCTCGTCCTCTCGCCGTCATGGTCAGTAATGAACGATATATCCATCAGAAGGAACTTGTCGTATACATGTCCGGCTGCATGACAAATGATTAGATTGAGAAAGCTACTAGAGCTTGTCGTTGTCTGCTATTGCTTGCGGAAGCGGGGTAGACCTCCAAACACAGGGACGAAGATTGAGACGTCAGCGTGGATTAGTATCCGCAAAGAACCTAGTGAGATCTCTGAGGTGCCCAGTGCCGCTCTGCTCCATGCCGCCTATCTGAGCTTTTTGCGAGGGAGGTCTATCAATATTGGTTTTGCTGTAAGTTGGCGTGAACATGAACATGAACATTCTGTGCTGGGGCCTGGGTACCCCGAAGGAGAGATGCCAGGCTCTTATACGTGATGAGGGGGAACAGATTAGTGCTCGATCATGTATGAAGAGAATACATGCTTGAGTTCACAGGTAAAAACGATTCTGCATCCGGAGGGGGCCGGTGGAGAGGAGAGCAGCTACGCATGGACAAATCATAATTTTATTGGTACCATGCCCTCCGGAACGACGAGCAGAGTCGAACGCAGCAAGAATCAAGACGATACGATGAGTAGTTCGAGGGATATCCGTGTTTTCAATTTGAGGTGTTTGGCCCGATTGAGTGATGACGGGAATAAGCTGCACTACGGAACCTTTCTGTGGGAGACGGTGCGAGCGGCGCAGGGGGGATGGATGTGTGCGCGGGCAGTGCAGCAGGGCAGTCTTATATATGCCAGGAGACGAGAACGAGCACGTCTGTCTACCGTTGTGACGTCAGACGACGATCGCGAAAGCGAAGCAAGGCGTTACCGAAACGGGTCATCATCATACTCCAATAGGCTAGATTGCTCAAGGAAGACATCTCAAAAGTCCGATGCTCGGTTGCCACACCGAGCGCAGGCGGGCTTACAGAGCATACAGTCGACCTCGCATACAGTCGACCTCGCATACAGTCGACCTCGCGCGCCGCCCTCCGCGCATCTCCACCTCGCTGCCGCCAGCCTCGCTCGCTCGCCCCTTCGGCGACCGTTTGCATCAAACCAGCAGCGTCCAATCCCGCGCTCTTTCCCCCGGGATGCTCGACGTGCCTGCCGTCTGACTGCGTCTACCACTCCTCCCTCCAGGCCCGCGCCCTGCGTTCAAGACGTTCCTCATCGATGCGTCGCTTACTCCCTGTGACCGCGGGCAGTAGCCCGTCTGATATCTCGTGGTCGAAGAGCGAGCACGACCTCAAGGTGCCCAATCTGGTGCGTGTCCACGCTAGCCGCCCCACGCGCCGTGCACGCCGTGCACGCACACACACATCCCGCTCGCGACGTTCGACCTCGAGCCCCAGCGGCTCATCCTGCACGCCCCGTCCGTCTACGCCCTCGACGTCGACATGCCCGATGCGCAGATCAGCGACCGCGCGCGGACCACGTGCTGGCGCTGAAGCGACTTTGACGTCGATCGCGCGCTGGTCGTCCGGTTATCCATGTGGTAGTCTGCAGGACCGCGTAACACTGTAGCGGTCGCGCGCGATCAAGCCATCCCAGTCCTAGTACCCTTACGGTGTGCATAACGGAAGGGTCTGCAGTGTCTTATAGGTAAACGCTCCTCTGGCGGACACATCTCACGTCGCTCATTCCGCGCTTCATCCATCCCGGTTGCCCGCCCGCTGCCCGCAAGTGCGCAGTGTCCAGCAGGCCATGCGCGTCGTCACCGCGCTCGCTCTGCGCAACGCCTGCACGTCATACAGCAGCGTCAGCAGGCGCATCCATGGACCGTAACCCGCCGCTCACCGCCTGCTCACACGTCAGGCGCGACCCGACAACCATGATGGCCGACGTCTCCAACGGGACGCTAGTGTCCATCTCATTCCAGTCACCGCTCTGCGACGACGCCATACAGTGCGTCGTCGTTCCATGTCTCATTTGTATCTACAGACTGTAACCCGCCGCTCACGCGTCGGGCACAACAGATGGCCAACGTCTTCAACGCGACGTCGGTCCCTTACGCGGCCGCATCTGGAGAACCTACTGTCCAGCGTTCGGCTTCGTTCTGTGACCTGTGACCTGCGACGATCGCGCACAGTGCGCCATGGTTCCACATCGCATTTCCAGGATCCCGCAGCGCCCTATTCGCCGACATCGAATGGACAGACCACCCAGCTTATGCCCAACACCCGGCACACTCCTGCCGCTATCCGCACCATCTCGCGACATCGCCCCGTCTATACCGCACGCGCTCGCGCTCGCGCCCGCATCCGCATCCGCCAACTGTCGACTCCTCACACTGTAAGCACAACATCAGCCAAAGCAACCTCGGCCTACGAACGCACTCACCTTTGTAGTGCTTCAACACCCTCCAACATCCGGGAGCGTACCTGCAACACACATAAAGGTTAGTAGACACAACAGCCGTAGGTGTCGCAAGCAGACACCAGCTGATCCATCGAGACATATAGCAATCCAAGGCGGCAGATTCACGTCCAGAAGATGATGCCCCCCCCGGCCCTCCTTTATCCCTCCTGCTACCCCGTTCCTGCATTGCAAACCCACGCACGGACGCTCCGCGTCATGGCACCCGGTCCCGCCGCGTACGTAACGCAGCCGCTCGCGTAGCATCTCGCAACACCCGGGCTACGCGCATCTCTGCCGGGGCGCTCGCATGGGCTTCGCGTGTCGCCGCAACACATTCCACCGCCGAAAAGGACATGCGTCCCTGCACGGAGAATCTACCAACGGCAGGGCGCACACGCACGCCTGTATGCGCGACGCGGGC